CGGCGGTCGCGGCGGCCGCTCAGGCGGATCCGAAGGAGTCGAGGAGAGCAAGGGAAGCAGCAGTGGAGGCGCCGATGGCGGCGGTGGCGGGGACCATAACTTCCCGGGCCGGTACTTCAGGTGTGGACATCGTGGACATCAAATGATCGGCTGCACTACCAATGAGAAGGACTTCGTGCCGTGGTGTGCGCTCTGCGAGGGGTGGGGCCACACCAAAGAAAAGTGCGCGACGGAGGAGGCCGTCCTAGCGCAAGTGGTGGAGCATGATTGCGACGTGGACTCCGTGGAAGACCAGGCGTTTTGTGCCGTGGCAGTCCCCCCAGGCGAGTGTGGTACCGTTGGTGACGAAGGTCTAGTGGGGGTTGTGGAACAAGGCCAGGCGGTATACGTGGCCGAAACAGCGGCCACGTGCTCCATGTTCCGATGTGCAGACAACGTCGTGAACTACCGTGAGCGTAGCGGTTGGGTGAAGGGGATCGGAGGCGGCACGGCCCCCGTTCTTTTTCGAGGATACGGAGATGTGAGCTTAGTCCTACAGACGGAAGATGGTGGAGTACACGGACCAGTACTGAATGCTGCCCATGTAGCAGAGGCCCCCTACAACCTCCTCTCGCTGTCTTCGTTGGCAGAGGAGGGCCACACGTATTCGGGGATGAAGGGGGGCCTCACGCTGACCACGAAAGCCGGGGGGGAGGTGTGGTTCCCCCGGACTGGGAAGCTGCTGACCCAACGAGGCTATCAAATAAAGCCAACGCTACACACCGCCTGTGCCGCACTCATTGTTTCTGGCGATGCGAAAGCAGCCAACCCCACTGACCTCAACGAGTACCACCTCGCGCACGGGCAAGCCCGCGAGACATTGCTCAGGATCACGGCGGAGCAGCAAGGAGTGCAGCTGACGGATGGACCGCTGCTACCCTGTCTTGGCTGTTCGATGTCCACGGGTCAGGTGAAACCCGTCCAGAAGAGCACGAGCACACGCGCAGTTAAGAAGTTATTTCGCGTGTATCTCGACTTGGGGGGAAAGATGAAAACCAGGAGCATTGGTGGCAACTGGTACACACTGATCATCAGAGACGATTTCTCCCGTTGGACGCGTGTTTTCTTCTTGAAACACAAGTCTGACGCAGCGGTTGGATTAGAGAAGTTCCTGGCGGACTACCGAACGAAAGGGGTTCCGTGTGAGGTTTATATCGCACGTACCGACGGTGGCGGCGAGTTCCAGGGGCAGTTTGCGGAAGTTTGCCGCAGACACGGCATCAAACAAGAGTTCACCCCCCCTCACACCCCAAAATACAACGGTGTAGCGGAGAGAGCGCTAGGGTTGATCACTGATGCCGCGCTTGCGTCACGAATCCAAGCGACGCAACTGTTCCCCGACGCACCGAACCACTCCGGGTTGTGGGCCGAGGCCATTTCGTGTGCATGCCATCAGCTGAACTGCATCGCCTCTAAATCAAACGAGGGAGACAAATCCACCTACGAGATGTCCCACGACTCCCCACCGCCTGTCGGGTCTACATACCCNCGCACACCCCGAAAAACAACGGTGTAGCGGAGAGAGCGCTAGGGTTGATCACTGATGCCGCGCTTGCGTCACGCATCCAAGCGACGCAACTGTTCCCCGACGCACCGAACCACCCCGGGTTGTGGGCCGAGGCCATTTCGTGTGCATGCCATCAGCTGAACTGCACCGCCACTAAATCAAACGAGGGAGACAAATCCGCCTACGAGATGTTCCACGACTCCCCACCGCCTGTCGGGTCTACATACCCGTTTCTCAAACCAGCCATGTTGAAGTCGAGAAGAAAAGCAAAGTCGCAACCCAAGGGCGAAAAAGGATGGTATGTTGGTCCTGCCCACAATCACCCCCGTTACTGCGTTGTCATGCTAACCGAAGCTGGAACCGTAGTCATCACCCGCAATTCACCTGGCGCCACGTGCCAGCTGCATCGCCCGCTCCCCCGCAGCTGCTACCTCTTGCAGATGACGAGGAGGACGGGCAGGGCAAG